TATGGCGTTGTAGAGTATTTCGCGGTGCATCTTTTTAAGGAAAACATTAACCTTTGGGTCCAAAAGAAACACGAGAAAAATAGAAAATGCTGAGAGACCGCACCCGTGACAATTCCTGGGAATGTGATAGGTGGGGAGCATTAACAATATTCAAAATTTTTACAAGCAAATAATTTCGAACCCAGGCTGGGAAAGCAGAGACTAGTAGAGAATTTTAAGCGCTATCAGAATGTATAATTACTTTTCTAAAAATGTAAATTTATAGTAATAATATGTCAAAAGTATCGAGTTCAACTACTTTTTTCCAGGCGCATATATGCATGGGGACTGCAAAACAGAAACGGTGAGAGATAGAGCAGGAACAACAAGTATAATTTTCCTAAATTAAATCTTTTCAACATCTTGATACAGAATCCTTAAGATACATCAGACTCAGAGCCTTCTAACAAAAAAGAAAGAATGATTCTATTCTGATACAAAAAAGAAAAAGTAGAAGAAGCATTAGTACTTATGAGAATCTTGGGGGAAAACTGTACTGCCACCAAGATCTTGATCAAGAATTTTCAAGAAGCAGAATCTTTAAAGAATTTGTGCAGATTTTCAGTTTCTGTAACACGTGGATATGTGGCTGTCATATATGAAAAGAAAATGTGAAAAAATGTTGCACGCAGGATCTTGAAGAAACTACTGCCAACATTGAAAGTATCTGAATTCGATTGTTCAAGATCTTTGTTACGAAAGGCTTGAGTAACGAAAATATTTTTGTCACATCACATAAAATATCCCGAAATCCTTACAAACGCCGAACACCAATTGAATGATATATCTACAACCCGGTTTTCTGATTCAATGAATCAATTTCTTTGAGTCTCTAGATTCAGATCCCTCTGAAAAAGAACTTATTTTGTTGTGACAACAAAATATCTCTTGTCTTGCAGAACCTACTATGAGTGTCAAGAACAGTTAACACATGTACTATTTTATTTTAGGTACACATAGTCCTACTCTTCACTTTTCTAGGAATTTTCAGCTTAAATATATTAAAGTTAAAAAACATACTGCTACTACTAAAATCATTCGAAAATCTAACTGTTTTAGGACCTTAGTTAATGTTTATTTTCAAAATGATCTTATCTGATATCCAGCCACTGCAGATGAATATACATACCCACCTCTCTTTCTGTCTAATTATCATACTTACTTTGTTTCTGATTCATTTTTCTCTTCAGCAGAACCATAAAATGTGACTGGGTTTTGTCTGATTTGGTAACTGTTTTCTGCTTAATAAAATAGTTTAAGGGCTCCCGGAGGAAAAAAGTTTTCTCTTTCACATCCGATTTCGATGGTGCTTACAGTGATTAATGCTTACTGTCCAACTAGATTATGCTAAAAATGTGAGCTCGAAGCTTAGAGCGTCTCCGAGTTATTGCGTGAGGCAAAACAGGACTTTAGCAAAAACGCTAAGGCTTTTTTTGTTGGAAGAAGCAGAAAGCTGCGGATGGTCTCAGGTGAAAGTCGACACCTAAATCTAAAGTTTTTTCCGTATCGACTTTTGGATTTCGCTTCCGTTCATTTTCTATACGTATTTTGAGTCAGAACTCTGAAAAAATTCTAAACTCGGAGGAGTATTTTCCACTTTTCTCTGCACAGAAAACGAAATTCAAAAATCGCTACGGATAAAACTTTAGATAAATGTCTTAGCTTCAACATAAAAAAAATGTAGGCTTTACGAAATCGTAGCAATTTTGCTGCGCCAAAATCATATTCTAAGCAATGGCATCATCACTTCATTAATTATTATCCAGCGCCTTTAGCAAAACTAGTATAATTCTGCAAGGCGAAGTCGTATAAACCTGCGAAACATCTCATTTTGATCAGAACACTTCGCTCAACATAGCTCCATATCTATTAAAACAAAAAATCTTAAAAATTTTAATTGAAATTTCAAATTTAGAAAAAAGGCGGTTTTTAAAGCTTTCAGAAATCTTTTTCAGAAACCTCCAAAAACATTGAATTTTTGGCAGATTGAGATGGATTCCGAAGAATGACAGTTTGGGATACATAACCATATGCTTACTTCAGTTTCGAAGAAAAAATCGAATTCCTAAGGAGTTCCTCTTAAATTAAATAGAACTTACAGAACGAAACAAGTAACTAACATTCATTCTTTCTGCCGTAAATCACCTGGACTAAAGTTCAGTTTCATACCTTTTGTGTGTATATATTATTCATAGTATATGATAAATGTCTGCCACACATTCACGTAATTATTTTAATCTTTTTTATCAGTACTGTCATAGCTGAATGGCTTTTTGACATATAAGTAACACAATTCTTTTTGCTTATCTCTCTCTCTCTCTGTAGACGATGTACAATAACTAGAGAAAAACGACGTGATATGTAATTTGAGTTATTGAATAGTGAGGAGAGTAATAACCTGTATCTCATCAAGAGAAACGCAGAGAAGAGATTGGATTTTTTAAAGAAAGTTTAGTTGTCTTAGAATTAGGTTGTCGTATACTATAACGGTCACTATGGTTTAACTCTGTTTTTCTTCAAAAAATAAAAGTGTAATAAAAATTTATGAATAAAAGGACAGAGAGAAAGAATCAACCTTTTGAGATGTTGATAATTTGAATGTAATAGGCTAAGTCCAATGCTACCGTCAATCAAACAGATGTGCTGAACATGTGTGAACTGTTAAAGGCTCTATAGAAGAATTCCACCTGTTATTCGATTTCTCTATATAGTTAACTACTAGAATAAAATATGTCAATATGTTATAAAAAAAATAAGCTTAAATTGATAACGTTATTCACCCAGCGAGAGATCAATCGCATTCTAAAATAGTAAGTATCGATCGATCAATAGCACGCAAGGATGAAGCGCTATTGTTGTGTATAAAGATCTTTCGTGGTGAATAGAGCAAAAAAGAATTCATGATATCCTTATATCCATCGGTTTTCAAAGAAGATCGCAAAGATAGAACATATCAACGTGTTCATTTTATACTTGCCAACAACTGACATATTCTTTTCTGAGTTTTTTTGTCACTTCATATTATTATATGATAAAAATCGATTTGACCTCTTGATGACATCTGAATAAAAGACGAGAGTGATAAAGAAATATTCGAACTACTTATTCTCCACATAACTCATAATACGCGGTGGAATTATGAGGTTCAATAGGCTTGAGTATCATTACGTTTTGACTCTGGAGCTGATCCCTGCCATGTTGTTAAGTGTAAAAGTTAACTGATCTGTGTTTTTAATTATGGCTGAGCGACTTCCAGAAGTACTTGGTCCTAATCCGCATTCGGAAGCTTCAAGTTCAAATTCGAATTCCTAATAAAAAGCACCAGTCTCAACTTGACCGTCCATCTCACAATGTCATTTGGACAATACTATCGAAATGTTGAAGACCATCTTTATTAATAGACCTGGTGGTATTTTATCTTAGATAATTGATTTTTTGACTTGTTATTTTTGAATATTACTTCAGATTATGAAAAAATGTTGAGTGAGAGAACCATGTATCCTAGAATAAATGAGTGCACTAGTAATCTGAAGTCTCAAGTCTTGGCTCAAAAATTTGAGCATCTTTGAGCAGATCTGACGTAGCATTCATTCACAAAAAGACACACTATTTCGATAGAAAAACGGGTTTCCAGGATCAAGTATAAAACAAGTGTTGTATCATTTTTTTTAAGCATGTAAAATTATAGTATCTATAAATGAAAGAGTTCACGATGTTCTGTTTTCTGTAAAATATCATGATCTGTTCAGCCGTGAGTCCGAGAAATTTCCACTTTTTTTTAACTGACAAGAAGCCAAAAACAATCTAATATTTTTGCATATCAATTTCATATTTTGTCTTTCACAATCTTAAAAATCTAAAGAAGTCATTTTGTTATAATATCACCAAGTTAGTCTGAAAAATATTTTTTATTCAAAAAATCACTTTTACAGACATATGATCTGAACTCACAGTACTTACTTAACTTAAAAAGTCTCAGATGTTCTTTGTGAAAAGATCAAAACTTTGTTAGTAAATATAAAGAACTAAAAAATATGGCAATACGTAAGCCTTGGCTACTTTTTTTATCACCCAACGCGTTCGTTTTATTGATAATGTTTTTCTTGAACGTATTTTTCAACAACTTAATGAATGCCAGTAGCATATGGGCTATTTGTTGTTTTTTTGCTATGATACAATTTCTAACATCTCCTTTAATCAGAGTAGTACAGTACGAGTCAATGTTTTATTCGAAAACACCGTCAATTATGACTATTAATGAATAATAAACTGTGCGAGAAAGATTTTTCAGATCAACAATGGTGAATATTTATTTCAATGTTTGCATTTCCAATTTAGTAAAGATGTTTAAAAATGTAGTTTCATCATACTCCATTCAACTGATGGAAAATATTTTAATTAAGATTAAGATATTGAAAGGTTAGAAATATTACTGTATTAATATCAGAATTAAAGTAAAAATATTGAACAATAAAGCAGTAAGATTTTGCGCATTATCGATCATTCGAAACTCAAATACAATGCATCGGTTTCAGATGAAATCTTGAAATGAAAAAGATAAATTTATATCATATAATTGACAAACAAGAGCTAAAAGTGAACAAGAAAAAGCATTGGCGCTTTTCAATCAGTACGATACGATACCATCAGCAGTACTATTGCCATACATAAGTACATCATCTAAATGATTCTAAATTTCGTGATAATCTTTAGTAACAAACCATTGGTTCTCATAATGGAACCATGACTTTTGGAATAAATTTGTTTTTTTTAAACATATATTTTACTATTTACAAGTAACGATGGTATGTATACTAGAAAGCAACAAAAAAGAGATATGAAAAGAGAATCCTCTAGGCACATGAGGTTGGTTGACTAAATTAATATAGCACCAAACACATAAATCAGAAATGAAAAGAAGAAAAACTGTTTAAGACAATAAGAAGGAAATACAACATAAGCTAGGTCAATGGTCTTAACTTTTTTATTCTTCGCCATTCGCCAGTGGCATAATTCATTTGAAAATAGAATTCGGCAAAACATTGTTGTGTTCCACCATTGGGATCTTGGCTAAGTTCCTCTTTTTCACTTAGTTTTATTGTAACAAGCGAATTTGCTGGTGATTTATCGGCATCCGATGAACGATCTAAAAAAAATACTATGATGTACATTTTCTTAAAAAAATTATTCAAGAAATGAGTAGCTACAAATAATAAATGATTCTTTATTAGTGGTGGAGCTAAGTAATATTTTTCGAACAAATAAAATAGCACACAAACCTCTTGCTCCAGCAATAAATCCAAGAATTCGACTTTTATCTGTTCTTGATAAACAAGTACTTGTACGAAATAAATCCTTGGCAAATTCGATTTGTTCAGGCTGAAAAAAGTCGAATACAAATTCAATCAGTAGCAGAACAGAAAAAACGTGAATAAACAAACCGTCAATTTAAGACCACTAATTCCAGGCGATGGTGATAAGTTTGTTTGTTGCAGTTGTTGTTGTTCTGATTCTGATTTAAAATTTGTTAAAGGTTTTTGTTCGAATCTCACTTGTTTATAAAAATCGTTGACAGGAGCTATGTTTAAATCAAAAGAGATAATTCACAAATAATTTTTATTATCACAGTATAAATTAACACTCACGATTTAATGTATCGGATGGTGGCGAAATGTCTTGAAAATTCATCGGTGTATATGGAGTTTTCTGAAAAGACAAAAACAACTTTTCTTAGAAATGAAATATAAAATCATATTAATTTTCTTCTAACACGTTTCAATTCACAGTGGAAATAAACCGTCTAATTCAAAAACATGGACTGGATATCATTGAAAAACTTTTTAATGTTAGTAAGTTTCTTACCGTTGTTGATAACGAGAGTGTGGTATAATCATGATCAAGTACATTGTCAGTATTTTCGGATGCTAAAGTTAATACCAGATTATTAGTTAGATCCGTTTTGAAAATTAGATCATAATTGTTACCGTTGTTCTCATTCGTCGGTATTTGAGACGATGCTGATGGTTCATTTTGTGATTGTTGTTTCTTCGTTGTCTTTTTGTTATTTATTGACATTTCTGTATTATCTCCGTCATCCACTATGAGAAATAAATAAAAAATAGACATGTAGAAAGTAAGGTATACCTCCACTTACATGTGGTTTTTTTTCGTTTTTTAAGATCAGACTGTTCTTCAAGGGTAAGCATCTAAAAATAATAGCCATTTTTTTTTATAGATAGAAAGGAAATGGACTTGTCATACTTTTATATTTGTTTCCCGTCGATTAGACAAACGTGAACCCATTATTGCTGCAGTATTCATAGTGACTGGATTTGATTTCAAAAAGCCAACATTTGATTTTGAAATACCACCACTCGTACTTGCTGTGAACGATGGATAAGAAGTGGCTAAAAGGAGTTAATGATGAATAACTGATTTTTATTCTGAAAGAAATTCAAGTTTACAGGTCTCGTCAAATGGTCGTCGACATCCGCTGCGACAGCCAGTAATACCGGAATATTCAGTTCCTTTTTTGTTTTTCAACCATTGTGCACCTGAAATAATGAATAATATTATCAAATAAGAATACATCTTTCTCTCTAAACATCTATCATATCAGTTATACTCGTCTACCTATCTTGGCCAACTCTATCTGAAGCTCACGGTAGCGATTAGCTGTAGCAATCCGGACAGAGAATTTGAAAGATTTCTATGGTGATTTCTAATCGACCTCGCACTTTGCGTAATTTAAACTCTTTGGAAAAATATTAATTGTCACGAATCTGGTAGTTACCTTTTTCTAGTAGTTCTTGTTTCAATCGTGCAGATTTTGCTTTTCGTACAAGATTAAAGCATTTGGGTGGATTTGGAATGTCACCAATCAATAATTTCAATGCACTTCTACCCAAAAAACATGATTCCAGTGGTAGAAGGGTTGTATCATTGTGCTTTTTTACTAAATATGAAAAAAACACCATAGAAACAAAAATATCTAAGCAAAAGTAATTACAGTATACCTGTTTTTCGTAATTCTTGCACTCCAGCCGAGAAACCTTCACATTCTTGATCACTTAAATCAAAATTAAACGTTGCTTTATCTGGAAATGATTTCATTATTTCACTAATCACAGCCACCCATTGATCACCAACCACATCTTTTCGACTCAATTCAATAATATCTCTAAGTAATGCTTCCCACTAAACGATAACAAACATGAAGAGTCAATTTCCACGAATCATCATTCAAATTCATAAATTTCAAAAACGAGAGAAAGAATCAGTATTAAAGCGATGAAAATAAAGCGAACTTATGAAGTGTAGGATTGAGCTTTGATTTAAGTTTAAAAGTTTTTTTTAATAATTGAAAGAAAAATTATTACTTCAGTAATATTGCGTTTCGGTAAATGTATAAATGATAGCAATAATTTGACTTTAACAAGATAATCAATATTCCATATAATATTTTTAATCGATTGTAAGTTTTCTTGCGTTAATGTTGAACTAATAGAAATTGAGGACCATAAATCTTGATGAGAAAGTTTGTTATGTAGCCAAAATGCCACATCATCTTTAGACGTCATTTTATTTTTTAACTGTCGTCTTCAGCAATAATCTGTTTTAATCAGTCTTTGATTCTAAAATAAACTAAACCCATTATATATTACTTTTCAATCCAAATAATACTTGGTTGTAAAAACTACCTAAATTGTCGATAAAACCAAACTGCTAGCCATTATACCCATTATTCTTTTCATTTCCTCCCTCGTTAAATAGCACAGTTTAGAAGAAAAAAATCCTTGTATACAGAAAACACTTAGTTCAACGGAAGAAGCAGAAAGTATCGCACAGTATGATTGGTAATTATTAAACTGAAGCATACAGTGTCCCTGAAAAACAAAAATTTATCTTTTCTTTCAATATCTTGATGTTCTTTTTGTGAGACTAAAAGGACATTCATAAATTACTTTTAACAGCCAATCAAGTGCTTTACTCCATCATCAACACTTCTTTTTCAGATTCTGTAGGTGCGCTATGCTCAATGGATTTGCATACAGGTTAGTTACGGACTCTATAAAAATGAAATCTAATACAATTATTTTAGAGATTTTTTTCTTTCTTCTCCTCATACTGCTGTTTTAGCCATTTATCGAAACTTGTGCATCAGAATAGAAACTGCAAATACGAGAAAGCTATTAGAATCAGAAAGGTGTTAGGGACCTGATGCATTGTTCTGTAGAATCTCTAACCTTTCTTTCTCTTTCTCAGTTTTTTGAGATCATCCTGATAATTATGATGTGGGAAGAACAAACAACAGAATCAAAAGTCAAGACTTAATGTAAAAGATCACATTGTGTTGGTTGTAAAATCTTGCTCCTGGTGTTAACCGTCGAACAGATTTTAACAAAGTATAAAAATAAGAGTATAGGCTAATAATAATAACAATAATTTATTTTAATCACCGGCGGGTGAAAGATCATCAATGGTTATAACTTGTAATACGATGACTTTTGTTCGCTATGGTCTAGGTATATATAAAAGGGTTTCATAAGAGAAGTAAGATAAACAAATAAGAAAAAAGAAGTAGTAAACAACGACTACAAACATCGATTGAAGCTAACAATAGACGTAACGGGAAGAACATGAGACAAATAGGTTCGACATCGTCCCTCATTTGAAGCCAGACTAAAGATACGCCCTAAGCTTATGACTTTGGTGATTTCGGTCATGACGTACACAAGAAAAACCAGGGAGAGATATTTCAAAGTCTGAAATCGATAGATCCAAATTTATGTCTTTAAAACATGGCTTTAGATGTCAAAATCAGTAAACGAAAAAAAGTTTTGTCTTTGCTAAAACTAAAGCTTTACTAAACTTTGTATATTGTGAGAAAAGATAGTTAATTCGTGTGAAGAAGATAATGATACAGTGAAAGAGATCTGCTTGTATCAAACAGGACTTTGTTGTTGATTATGATGATGATCAATTATTATTATGTTGTCGACGGTTAATATTCGACGATGGCTGTTGTTGATGATGATATTCTTGACGTTTTTTATATGGAAATTTAGACTGTTGTTTTGTTAAACGTTTACCAATAAACACACGTTTGATACTATCATTAGAAGAATTACGAAGAGGCGATGATTTAGATATTATCGATGAACGTATGAATAAATCATTGTAACTAACACCGATAATACGCAGCAATTATCAGATGGAGCAGTACCCAATTTAAATTGTCATACAGATTCAATTGCTCCATCAGGTATATCAATAGAAAGATTATCATGAATAAACGTTGATATAACCTATTTATCACTATTACCAGTTGTCGCTTATAAACTTTTAATAATGGTATTTTTCCGTCGTTTTTCTTGTTCAAATTTTTCCATCATATCATCAAGTTTGTGATTAATTCGACACTTTGTTCAAGTAAATTTAAACGTTCAGATAATTGCTGTAAACAACGAGATGGTCTAGCATCCGATGATTTCACATCTGTTGAACACTCAGGACAGCACTAATTTGAATACTATTTATCTGTGGTAAGTTGTTGATAAGCTTGATACGAAGAAATGGGTATATTAATACAATTAATATGAAATCATTAATCATAATTATCACATTGCATTACATTCTCATTATCCTTTACTTTCTTTTTACATGAACAATTTTGATTTGATAATACTAAAATGTTGCTTTGAATGTTTACGACTGATCGCTTTTTGATGACATAACAATAATAAAAATATAATAATTAATAATTTAAATGAAACATATTCTTTATATAATAATCATTTTAAGCTTTCGACTTCTTAGAGAAATCATCTGCAATCATTCTGGCTATACTAAATAAATTTCTTCTGTAGCTATTTTGTTTCTCCTTCCAATTTGATTGACTCGTTTCATACATTATTGAACTGAGTTTTCATTGTTTTTTCAACTCGACACTATCAGCCGAGATAAGATAAGATAATGGATATCAAAAGAGTTTTTTACGCAGGGTTTTTAAACGATTTTCAGCGATTTTTGAATAGTATGAAAAGTGACTGTTTTTCTATTTTACTAGCGTCGACGGAGAAAAAGCATCGGTGGATGATCTAATATACTCGATTTATCGCTTATCTGGACGAATTGATATATATGACCAAAAACTAAATATAGTATAAGAGAAAAGCCTACTGAAGAAATCACTTTTCTACACTCGTCCGATCTGTCAATCCTCTAAGTTCGTTTAGTTTTGCTTGGATCAAAACAGTAATCGTTAGCACCAACCCACATTGTATATATTATCCGACGAAAATTAATGCCAGATATATTATTTAGCGTTGTTTTATAAAGCTGAATTTGTTGGTGTAAACCAGATAAGACAATCGTATTTTGTTTTGTATAATCTTGCACAAGATTTGAGTTTGTAGTTGCGCCACCTAAAATATAAAGATGATCGTCCTGTTTAGCTTTCATTAAGGGATAAACCAACACTTAATGCTGCTTTGGGTGCTAAGAAGGTGCTGAAAATAGAAGGTCGAGAGATCGAATTTTATAGTGGCCAGACATTATTTTTCTTCTTTTCAACTCCCTTTTACTTCTTTTTCTTCACCCTCAGCAATATACAGAGAAATAAAACAAGAGTAAACTCGTTATTGGATCCGATCATCGGATATTTCCGCCATCTTGCATTTTTAAGAAGTGAAAAAAGGTACCGTTAGACTGAGATAGACTTTTTGGACGCTGAAAAGTGCTACATATCACCGGATCGAATAATTTCAAAAGCTTGTTCGGTCGAAACCGATTGCAGATTCGTTTTCTCCATGGTTGATTATGTGGTACGCAATAACTTTTGGATCGGGGTACTTTAGAAAAAAATTTTCCCATGGTCTTGCTCAAAA